TTAAAACAAAAACCCCAGTCAAAAAAAAAAAAAAAATACGTAGACAAATTTACAGCAACAACCCTCCCACCTCCCCCAACATCCCACCCCCCAAAATAAAATAAAAAAATCTGGGCAAACATTTGATAGGGTAACAATCCTAAAAAGGATGGTATGTATCCAAATAGTAAACAAACTGGAAAGGGGAGGGGAAAATTAACTGTATTCTAACAAATAAAAGTCTAGAAATCTCACTGTAATACTGAAAGCTTCTTACATTAACTCTTTTCTTGCAAAATATCATCTCTTTACAATACAGTATACATTTTCAAGGGAGGGACGACAGTCCTCTTCCCATTACTAATATTTTCTAATTGTGCATAGCTAGAAAGACTGAAATCAAATATCATTAGATACCACTGGAATATAATACTGGTAGGAAAAGGGGAGGGCTGAAACAACTACACAAGGAGTTAGGGGGACTCACTGGCACAAAACCGTTCTATTTTTATACTGGACCATTTGGAACTAGAACAAGACAAAAATCATAAACAGGAATCACGCCAGCATAATACAAGAGTTCAGCAGTATTTTATGACCCAATCACTATATAAAGAGGTTTACTGGTTTATTGTTTGACCACACATTCCAGGCGCTGTATCTTCATTAGGAAATTGTTAAGAAGATATAGTAAGGGCTTTTTTTTTTTTTTTCCTCCTCCTTTTTAAAATGCGCCAGTAGTTGCCATGGACAGAACAGAACTGCTGAGAACCAGCCTTAAAAGCACCAGAAGTGAAGCTTTAATGGTTGTTTGTTCTCTCGGTAATGAGACTCATGTAGAATCAGTGCCAATAATTCTTCAGTAAAGAAATATGCAAATCAGTTCTGACAAGGTTAACGGCAATGTTTTGTTTGTAACTTTCAAAGCACTGGGGTGTGTTTTTGGCCGACTGTAAGATTTCCCACTCTCCTAAAAAGGCACGTTGAGTCTGGGGGAGCCCAAAATGAAACAGAGCTTTCAGAGAATAGCCAAGGTGTGCACTTTTGAAGCTACTTTTAACAGAGGTTTATTTGGTCAGCATTCATGTGGTTCTCCCCTCAAACTGGCATAGCTTCCAAAAATAGTTACTGATACCAGTGGAGGTGGTTTCAGACAGCACAAAAGATTCCCAGAGAAATACTGCCATTTATTAACACTGACAAGACTTTTTGGCACATGCTGTCCCCTACCCCCTGCCACCAACATCTCACTGAGCCCCTTCTTCCCCTCCATACAGTGGGTTAGAAGTGCTCTAGAAAAGCCTTCAGATGTTCTCCTATACTCACTCTAGTGCTGACATTGCACGGACAGGGGGGAGAGCCTCCATAGAGTTGAGAAAGTTGCATAGATTTAGCAGCACACTGAGCAAGAAAAAGTACCTGAAATCTAGGGAGGGCAGAGCAGGAGAAGTCAATTTTAAAAGAGAAAAGAAAAAAAAAGGCTTTTCTGAACTGGAGCATGTCCTGCCTTTTCTTCCCATAAAGGTTCAAGTCAATGTCCAAGTCAACCCTGAGCAGACATGGCTGTTTCCCAAGTGACCAAGAAGATTATGTTTAAACTACAATGTGGACAAAAATGAATAGAAGTCTACTTGGAAAACAGGACTTGCTAGACATTTCAACCATGGTAGAGAACAGCTAGCATAGGACCTACCATCTCCCCTCACCAGAAAGACAAAATGATCCTTCAAGACTAAATGGATTTTGTTCTCAAAGTCTCAAAAAGGCAAGACATCTTTCCAAGGAGAAGGGAAAGGTCCTGAGCCAGGAATAAAGGGTGGTGCTATCTGATGATTAAGGCAACAATACCAGGACATTATTACTTTCAGGACAGACAGCTTTTTTTTTTTAAAAAAGTGTATTCCATCTCTAGCCTGGTCCAACAGAAGCATTGAGGGAAAAGAAAAAAAAAAACTTAAACTGATGACAAAGCAGATTTTAGATTAAAAAGAAAATAAAAGAAAAAAAGATGCATCCAAGTCTGTAATTTTGTTCCCCAATTGGTGCAAATCAGATTCAGTTACAAGACACTTTGTTAAAACTCTGAACTACATCTGTATACGTGAAGAAATCATAAGGCACCAAAGCTTACATTTTAAAATGAAGGCCTTTTCTGGAAGTCTAATTCTGTGCATGAGTAATGCACTGTAATCAGACTTTTTTTTTGGTGGTTGTACCTGCATTTGGTTGGAACCCACCTGTTTTTTTGCCGCTACCCCTTCCCTTTGCCCTTTCTCCCCCATCCTTTCCCTATTCTATTTTAGGGCTGTGAGCAGAATCTGCAGCTGTTCCTGAGCTCTCTGCTACTGCTGCATTCAAACAGCACTGGCAAGACAAGTGGCAATGAGCAAGGATTTTACTTTGAGAGGAGACTCCTCTCTTGGCTGACTGAGAAATTTGCTGCTCCAAAATAAGCCATCTCAATGGAAAATGCCAAAGCTACTCTAAAGGATTCATCATGAGAAAAATTCAGAGTTGTGTCCTCAACCAAAGCTGTTATCTACTGGATTGTGCAGAAGTGAACACTGACAGCTTACAGAGGCTCAGTTTGGCCTGCTTAAGTTCAGGGGCAAAAGCTTTGGTCTTTTAGCGATAGCAATTGTATCTCGCTTCCAACCCTCGCCTTCCCACCCTCTCAGTTGGGGGTCGGATCCTATGCTAAAGCAGAGGTCTAGCCCCTGGTTAGTAAGTTATAATACTGCAACTCTGAATGGGTGGCAAGGTACGGGTTTCAAAATGGCTGCATTGTCATAAGGAACTCAGTGTAAGCATCTGATTGCACCTCCACCCTGTGGAGCAAGGTGACTGTGCAGTTGTTTCGGTAAGCAATACAAAGCTTTACGCAATGCAGCCGAGCAAGAAATTCAGATTTGTCACCAGCAACAGCTACCTCCCCCTTCCCCTCCTGCCCCCAAGAAAACATGGGCATTTTATTTGTTCTTCTGTTGCTGAACTGCAGCATCTGCATAAAACTCGATAAATAAGACCAGGGTCATTCTTCTGTAGTGGTTCCAGCGCAGCACGATTACACGCAAGTGATGGGAGATGACGGGAAAAAATGGGGAGTGCGGGGACGGCAGGTGCAGGAGAGTTTACATGGACTCAAACTCATCAATGCGCTGCTTGGTGTTGCCCTGTCGAATCTGGCGGAGGGTCTTGTACTTATCTCGGCCCTGCCTCATGTTCTCAGCATGGATCATGTCATTGGCTGTCTTCTTGGTTTCATCCCTGGCATTTGCCAGCTCTGAGGTAAGAGCCTTTAGTGAGGGAAGGAGAGGAAAAAAAACACAGTTAGATTAGTACAGGCTGCAGCTCCACAATGAGATTTACACCTTTACTGGCTGTTCTTAAGGGTGTCCCCCCCCCCACCAAAAAAAAAAGTCAATTTAAAAAATGCTGCCCTTGGAGACTAGAAGCATCCCATCTACCTAACTCAATCTCTTTCTATGTTCAGTGTAGAAGTGAGAGAGACAGTAGCAAGACTGGTTTATTAAATGAAATCCCTCCATCAGTGGCAATGAGTTCACACCCAAGACGCTACCAATTCCAATCTGTCTTCACAGCATCACTGCACAAAAGTACAGTAATACTGCAAATCAGGGCATCTGGATAGTCAGAGTCACAGCTATACCTGCAGAGCTGGACACAGGCAACATCTGCCTATTTAATGCTTCTGAGTGACCTTTCACAAGACCCAAGGTCAGTCCAGACACCAGGTTCAGCAGGGGCTTCCCCATGCTCCTCCCAACATGCTCTAAAGCTGCCTCCAAGAACCATGCTTGGATTGAGCTGCATAGTCCAGCAGAGGCTCAGCCAACATGACAGACTACTACAGGCACCTGCTCAATAGGAACTGGACTAAGTCCCCCAGCTCATTACTGAACAGCTGTCAGATGGCTGGCAGGGTTCATCTTAGCAAATTACATGCAACAGATGCTTTTCCTTGGCAGTACCATGTAGTCTTCACTAACAGGGGTTTGAAAAGAAGCTGCTTGATGAGAGCCAAGGCAAGTTTTGCTGCATTCCCACTACATTTTCTAACATATCAGTCAATTGACATGAGATCACGTTTCCCTGATTCTTAACTACCCTGCTCCCCACTCCAGCTGCATAAACAAGGGCAGGAGGATGTACAAGCACTGCAGAAGCCCATAGCCTTTCTGCCCCTACCTTCAAGTGTTTCTGGACTCGTTCATTCTTCTCCGCTTCAGTGGTGCGGTCCTCCTCACTGCGGTCCTTAATAGTAGCATCCGACCGCAGTTCAGCACTGGCCTCTGCAGCATTCTCATCCTGTTCATCATTCTCATTCTCACCATGGATGGGTTCAGTGACATGAGGGGTGGTCATAGCCGTCTTCAGTTCTTCTCTGGTCTTTTCTAGGTCCTCCTGCACCATCTGGGCCTGAGGTAAAACATACCACTCAAGTTAATGAGTCTCCTACTGGGAGAGGTTTCACTCCACAGGACCTAAGAATATATTCCTCGGCTCAGAAGTCTGTTTCTATCATGTCCACATCATAATGATCCCTTTGTGCCAGAAGTTTTTAAGTGGAACCTTCATAAGAACTGGTCAGGAAGAAGGTTGACAGTAGGGTCATATCCCATTATAAGTGGGACTTAGACATCTGCATGTGTGTAGCCACTCAGCATAACTGTTATACCTACACTGTACATAAATGCACTTTAAAACAGCTACCCCATGTGTGCATGAGCTGCAGCCAAGCTAAATATGGAGTAGGTAGTTTCATGCGACTACCTAAAAATACACCCAACAGGATCATTCCCAGATCTGTTTGCAAGGTACAATGGATCCTTCCTAAATTCTTAAGAATTACTCCCAAAGCATCCATTTTAAGAACAGTGGCTGAACTTTGGGAAGCATAAGGATGACAATCATCAGTTCAACACTGGACAGGAGTAAATGTGTATTCTGCACCCCGAAAACATTCCCCAATAGGAAGGCTCTATTTTGACTGTGAAAGCATGAGGGGCTTCTACGTTCCTTTGTCCTGGCAGCTGAACATCTAGTGTCTAGCTGAATGCTGAAAGCAGTAAGCATCATCATTAGACTAAGCCCATGCAACATGAAAATCAGAAGTAGCTGGTACTTTGGAGTTCGGATGCAGCTCAGGCTTTCCTGCTGCAGTGTTCTCAGTTTATTACCTTACATGCTAAAAACAAAAAAAAAAAGTGTCATAAGTAACAAGGTAACCTCATAGGGTCAGACCAGCACACAGAAGCCAGAATAAAAAGGGGGAAACCTGTGTCAAAAGATTTTTGCACTGGGGGAAGGGAGGGAAGGTGTTTGTAACCAGATGCCATTTGTACCTTCTGCTGCCACTCAAAGGCTTCACTCTCCTTCTTCTGCCTGGCCACCTCCAGCTGCATGATTCTAGATGTAAGCTCTGCCATCTCTGAAGACTGTGGAAGTAACAGACACAAGAGATTTGGATATTTTATTTCCTTCTAAATTAAGGGAGTATCCATCTCCTCAAGCCTCCAAGAAGCAAGGGACTGCCACCAAAAAGAGGAAGACTAAGCCAGATTGCCATACATTCAAGAGTTCTGATGCTCACTGCTGTGCTGTTGGGTGCTTTGGGCCCACCCTGTAACTGGAATTACAGGTCTGGGTTTTCTTCTTCTACAGGATGCAAGAGTCTCATATAAGGGCCACAGAACCAACTTCTCCATGCATATCCCCTAATAATGAGCATGTGGAGATACTTGACTAAAAGATGTTTTCCATTAAATCACCAATTTAATAAAGATTTAGTTTTAAAGAAGGTACTAGCTTATGCATTTGATAAGGATCTGAATTAAAAAGAAACTGAATTCCCAGCCAATTCCCTGGTAAACCACTGCTTAGGCAAAGAGTCTATACCACTAAAAAGACCAAGGAGGCATCCAGAATGCCATTCTCCCTGGCTAAGTCTGCTCACCAGCTGTTCCTGGGTTTTCTTTTGGTCATTGGAAGCTTTCAGCAGGGCTTCCTTTGCCTCTTCTGCCTCCTGACGTTCCTTAGCCAGCTTCTCTGCTTCCTCCTGGGCTCGTTTCCTTTCTTGATCCAGCTCCAATGCTTTGCGGGTCTGTTCTTCCAGTTCTGAAGAAAGAGCAGCATGAAAAAGAGGGAAGCAAAGCCAGGCTTGGAGATCAAGCCTAGAACAGCAGCAAGAAAGTAACTCCCCCTGGCATATACTTCCCTGCACTGGTGGGCATATAGAAGCAATATTCACTAGTAGGGTACCAGCAGTATCCTGCTTGGAGCATCTTTTAGTCCTCCTGCCCTAAAGTCCTACGCCTGCTGCAGTCAGCTTCAATCTCTGAACTACAGGCTAAACCCATTTGGGTTCCAACCAGCTCTCCCCACCCCAGCCCCACTGGCTCTGCCCTGTAGCTTAAGAAACCAGGACTGCTGATGGGAATAAGAGTTATGAAGTCTCCACCAGAGATCTCTTCCCAACAACAAAGCATTACAACATAAACCCCTACTACAGCCAGGGCCATTCCTGGGCAGGGAACAGGAGGAAGTCAGGGCAAATGACCCAAGCCCTGTGCTTTGGGGGGCCCTGCAGAGCTGAGCCAGCTTTGTGTCCGGCCACTTACCACCCCCACTCCCTCCCGCTGTGTCCAGGCCCTGCACAGGCTGATTTGCCCCAGGCCCCACACTCTGTTACGGTCATCTCCGACTACAACAGCCAAGACAAAGATCAGATCCGATCCCAGATGACAGATCAGCCAGCCTGCCTATCCAACAGATCCCCTCCTAGGTCTTCACTGGGAGCCAAGGCTAGGTTTTTGATGTGCAACACTGCAGAATTCAAGGTCTGAGGCATGTGGGAGATATGGAGGACCTAAAGGCTCAGGACAAGCTGCAGGAGGATGCCCAATTTTAGGACTTGAAGTTTCTAATGCAAATACCCAGAGCTAGACAGTTTCTCTGCCAAAAAAAAGATTTCCTAGTACCTTGCTGAGCTTTCTTGGTTTGCTCCTCAATTTGCCTGAGCCGTTCCATCAGCTCCTCCTTCTCACGTTCAATCTTCTCTTTCTCCTTCTCTGCCAGTTCCCTCTTCTTCTTCTCATTCTCCAGCAGGGCTCTGATTAAGGAAGAGTTAAAATAAAGCAGCTAAAATCTAAACTGCGCTATAAAGGTAGCAGGGCTCTCCAACAGAAGAACCATGATCACGCAAGAGGCAACTCATCCGATGGATTCTAGATAGGCCTGTTTGCAGAGCAAACTCTGCTCAAGACTGAGCAGAGTAGATACTCATCTCATTAGGATATACAGAGCAATATGCGAAGACAGCTTTTGAAGTTCCATCACTAAGGCCCCTTCTACACATCACAGGTCTTGTGCAATTACCTGGCTAACTGCACAATTACTTGGAGACCAGCTACATGTGCAATGCAGTTATCACAAGCAATAAAAAGCTCCAACCAGCTATAAAAGTTAAACCTCAAGAAAAAAAAGTGCGCACTACCTTAGTAACTACTTACTATCAAGCTTTAAATTTGAACATGTAGCAGAATCACCCCTGCTGCTGGGAGCTCCCTCAGCTGACAGCTCTCAGCCACAGGGATGTACCATGCCCAGTGAAAAAACCCCAAGCCCCAAGGATCACAGCAGCTGGAATCCCAGGTCTGGGTGTGGAAGAGGACTGCCCCCTACAGCAATCCTCCAGCTCCAGGAGTTTCCCTGCATCCCTCAGGCAGGGAGATCACCACAGAAGGGATCACACAGTGCCAGGCATACATGGGTTGTCCCCCATGGCCGGAAGCCCCTCACAACTGAGGTGTGTGAAGCTCCCAGCCACGGAAGCCTGCATCTTGCTAGTGCTGGGGAGCCTGGGATCAGGTTCTCTGCACTGGCAATAAGGTATGATGGGATTTAGTGTGCAATCCCACACTTCCTGTCATGCACGTGTGGAGGGGACTCAAGATATAGCATCAAAATGCAACAGAACAGTTCAGGGGTGTAGGTTGTAGCCATACTTTCTACACATCACCCGTGATGTGTAGAAGGGGCCTTAGTTTTTGACATTTTTTCATTATGTCTTCAAATTTTGCTCTGTATATCGCAATGAGATGACCTCTGCTCAGTCTTGAGCAGAGTTTGCTCTACAAACCTCAGCCTAACTAAGGGTTTTTAATCCCAAAAGTTTGCCAAGAAAATTTTCCAGCTATTTAAGTTGGTCTAATAAAAGTAATCGGATTCACCCAAAGAACCTTGTCTGCCTATAAGAACAGTTTTCAGATCAAGACTATCCTAACACAAAGTCATGTTCAGGAATTGTGCCAGCTGCATCACCCATTTAGAAGAGAATCTGCTTCAGCTGCCAAAACTAGACCCTAGTAAAAATCTGGTATTAAATGGGCAGGCGCTTTCAGCAGTTGTACTAACGCAATGTGGTCATCAGAAAAAGCTCGGGTTCAGATCCTCATGGTACCTACCGCTCCATCTGTTTCTGATGTTTCTCTTCCCGAGCCTGTGCCTTCATTTGCTGCACTTCAATGGTGTCTGGCTTACGTCTGCGCATGTAGAGTTCGTGGTTCCCCATGCACAGCGCCAGGATTCGCTTGTTAATTCGTAGTCGTGGGGCATAGAATACAAAGTCCTCAAGAGAGAGGGGAGAAAGCATTAGACTCCACTTCCCTAGCACATGCATACATACCTCACTATTGCTACCCACAACATGCTCACAGGGGGCAACAGTTGGGGGAAGGTTAAAAGGACCATTAGCAATAAGAGGGCACTTCACCTATAAGCAAGGCAAAATGTAGTGGCAAACCAGGCACTTAGTAGTAAGAAACATGCCTAAACTATGAAGGTCTGTAGGAATCCACAGAACAGACAATACCACAGGGCACATTTTGAACATTAAGGACCGTGTTGTTAAAGTCTCCAGGTATTCCCAATGCAAACTGAGGAAGGCTCAGTTGTCTTATCTAGGGAAGACCTGGTAGTCTGTCAGCTTGCCAAGGCTGGATTTTGCATTGTCAGGATATGGCATGCACACTATTAAGTGCTCAAAAAGCCACTAAAAACATTCCCAATGAGCATCCGTGCTTTTATATTAAGGCATTTCCATCACCTAGATGAAGCTACAAATTGCATGATTAGGTTTTCAGTTTTGAGATGATATAGTCTGCCCTTACTCCAGCTGGAACGCTAATTTTCTTGCTCACACCTTAAACAGGTTTCCTCTTATACAAGGAAGGGGAAATGCAACTTCATTGTGGCTACTCATGCATAAGAACAGCAAGGAAGTGGTTTCCAAACAGTGGTAGACTGTTCATTCAGAGAAAGAAGATATTAAGAAGTATGGGAAAGCTGAGGAGTCAAAAGCTATGGCATAAAGGGTAGATAGAGATTGTCCATTTTGGATTCTGTACAGCAAACCAAGCTTTCCTCAAGCTGATCAGAAACAGCAAGCAAGGCAGCAGACTTTGCAACAAAGATGGCTGCAGAGGCGACCTCAGTGATTTCCTGCCTCCAAATCATAAAGCAAACCTAACACCAACCTCTCCCCTACCCACAACTGCCTGTCAACCCATCCATTCACTCTGACAATACTTTAAGTACCTTCTGCTAGTTATTGGAAAATTGCTTGTAAAATGCTTTTAAAATGATTTAAGTGCATCTTTGAGTGTTTATTAAAAATTGACATTTGAATGGTGTCTCTTACTGGAGCTTTCTTGTCAATGGGCTTGATGACAAACTTCTTGTCATTGAATGAGATATTCCTGATCTCGCTCCACGGAAATCCAATTTTTGGAGTTAGCCTGCAAGGATTTAAAGAAAAAAAATGGGAGGAGTTTAGCAGAAGTTACTCTAAATTTATTCCAAATCAGCCAACAGTAGACTGGAAGTGTCAAAATGGCTCTAACAGTACTTGAGCTTTTCCCCCAGGTTCCAGAAATTAAGAGTCGCAGAGGCACGTAAAAACTGAAATGCAAGAACAGTATTCAACTGTTTCCTCGCCTTGCAGAGAAGACAATTTAAAATTAAAAAAAAAAGTCAAGGAAATTCTATTCAGTGGGATTCAATTTAACGTCAAATTGTCCCTGCACAGCAATTACATGGATTACAAGCAGCTCTCCCAGTAGTTTTATTAAAACAGTCAAATTTAATGTCATGTAGCTTGTGTCAAGGACCTTAATCAAGAAATACAATCGAAACAGCCTGGAAGAGTTTACTTGGAAAAACCACACAGGTGGAACTTGTCATGATGAACTTCATAGGGATGCCCAGTTTATTTCACTGTAAATGAAATTCTTTGAGCAGTTACCACAGAGCAGTCAAAGCCTGAAGGAGAGTACACTGTTCACTGGGGGAACACGTGCACACATACCCCAATAGCTGGGCACGTATGGTTAGTGAGGGCAGGACTTAAAAATGACTCCGCTACCCTATGAGCGCTACCCCTGTTCTCAGGAGGAAAAAAAATTGTGACAACTGAGTCACATTTGTTTCATTCAGAGGCAAGCTGTGCCTAGCTCTTGCTCCAGGGTGCAACAGTTACTACAGAATAGCTGAGGCCTGGTAAGTCCCCACCCTTATTTTTCCTGTTCTTGCTCCCAATTCAGAGGCAGGTTGGTTTAACAGGGGAGACATTCATTTTAAAGTGAGGTTTTAAACAAGGCCTTGGACAAAAAAAAAAAAAGGAGTGAAAGTGTTTACAGTAAAGACATTTTCTGTAGTAGTGAATTCCTTTCTAACAAACAGCCACTTGGCATTACTTGCTACAGGCCAGCGGCTAGGATTTAGGAGTTTGTTGCAATGGAATTTGTTAAAATGGATTTTGCTCTAATGAGATTCCACCCTTACTGTGCCTTCAATTGGTCAAAACTGCACATAGGTGCGTAAGAAGCACATTTCATACCAAAAACATTCTTTAAAATATTCTTTTGTTTTGGAGGGGAGAGGTTTCTTCAGTATGTGCTAAAGAATGAAAGGTCACCCAAAGAGATCTAAGAAAGATTTTTGTTACCTGTCATTCTGCTCATATATGTTGAGGCCAAGGGCATCTACACCTAGCCAGAGTTCAGAGCCTTTCTTGTTCTTAATACTGAAGTAGTTCACCCCATACATTTCCAGGTCTTGTGCAATTTTCAGGTATTCCAAGATGGCATCTTCTCTAAAACATGCAAAGGAAACAGATTTTTTTCACACAGACTCCAAATAAAAAGGTATTATGGGGAGAAGCTACCACCTTTAGTTGGTAGGTAAGTTGGCAGCAAGTCTGACAGTATGGCTGCACACTGCTGTAGGAGATACAGGAATAAGGCACGTTCCATTTCACCTGAAAGGACAGCCTGATGGTCACCCAAGACAAATCTGATTAATTCTTCAGCAAGATGACAAATGCCATGCTAACAGGCTTTCACCCAAGGACAAATAAAAATGTTTACTACAAAATCTGAGGCAACTACAGGCTGGTATAGCCCCCACTTCTTTAACAGGGCAAAATAACATCAGGCCATAAAGCCAAGTTACCTGAGCATTCCCCGATGTTCCTCATGCCACACCTGAATCCTCTCCTCCCACTGGTCCTTGTTGAGTTTGTGCTGCTCCAGAACTCTAGAAAGGGGACAAAAAAAACTGTACTGAGGCTGGTCTAAGCAGCTGCAATCATGGCCCACCATCTAAAGTACCTTTGCATTGCAGGTCAGTGCCAAAAAGCCTCAATAAGTACTCCTACTGCCCCATGCTTTCTCCCCTCACCCACTTGTTCCAAGAAAGCATTTGTCCAGACTTGGATCTGCAGCCAAGCCACCAGTCAAGGCTTAAGTAGCACTGTATATTTAAGGAAAATGGTATTCTGCTTTTGTTTCTCCTTGTACCATTACAATGACCTGCTACAAAGCTGTTGGTTCTTGTTTTGCTTTTGTCTGCTCCATTAATGTCTCTTCCTTTTGCTTCTTCACACAAAAGGAGTTTACAAAATCACAAGTTTCTAAATCATATTCAGCGATTGTTTAACTGCAACGGGCTCTGACAAGCTCCTTGGACAACAAGACCATAGGCGTGAATTGCACTTACTGCATGCATGCAACCAGAGTTGAGGTACAGTTCATGCGATCCCAGCCAAAAACCAAAAAAAAGTGAAGCTATCTAAACACACAGAACCTGTATATAGCTTACGGCACTGGATGCTCACAGGAGAGGCAAAGCTTGCATACCTTTGTGGAAGGAGTTTGTCACCAGCAAGATAGCCAGTCTTGTGCACTTCCTTGTTGAAGTCTGCATATTTTGACTGGACAGCATAGGAAGCGAGAAGGACGGCAGTCTCTGGAGGGCAGTAAATATCATCATTCAAGATGCCCTCCTTCACTTGAAGGAAGAAGAGGCGCTGTGTGATATCCTGAATTAGCTCTTCAGCCACGTCCTCTGGGTAGAACTTGGCACGGAACTTGAAGAGCAACGGGCTTTCCTTGCGAACGTCCTGGGCTGTCACCTGGGGGAGGGGGGAAGAGAGAAGGGACAGTCAGACCTAGTATTTGTCAGGCCAGCTAAAATTTCAGTGGCATGTTAAAAAAAAAAAAAAAGGGGATAGGGGCACATTCAGTGCATTCTTCCTTTTCAATACAGAACGCAAGCATGCAGCAGAGCAGGCAGAGTAAGATTCTCCAGGTCCCCCCTCACAAGTATCCTCCCTTTGGGAGACATCCAGCATCTTTTGTCACTGCTTATTCTTCACCAGGTACTACTGTAACTCTAGCTTCAGTAGGTCAGAACACGGGTCACCAGGTGCATGCTCTGCAGCTGCCTGCTTAGGTCTTATTTACCACACCTACTACACATTAATAAATCTCTTCCTTACTGTACTGTGTGTTAACAGATCTGCCTGAAAACAGCACTACTGCAAACAAGCAGCAGCAAGTCTGACACTGCGTCTAAACTATAGACCAGGGGTTGGCAACTTTTTGGCTAACAGCTTGCTGCTTATGACTTAGCTCCCGTTATTGGGGGGGGGGGGGCGGAAACAGCATGGTAATCATGACACAAAGCCAAGGAAAGGGTAGGTGTACAAATGTATATAAAATACCTTTTTGTTGAGTTTCAACCATGTTGAGAAGCCCTTGGTATCCTGGTACTGAAGTCCAAAAAACCAAACTTCTCTCAGTCCAATTGTCTTTACCACCTGGAAAAAGCCAGAGAAAAAAAAGTGTGTCCATTAGTAACATTCACAGCTGATGGGTCACACAATCAGGAGCCACCTGCAGTCAAGTTGTTACATGCTGGACTGGTGCAGTATGCACAAGCAAGTTCAGAACAGAATGAAACCTAGCCTCAAAAGTTGAAAGGACCACAGGCCAAAACAGCCTGCAGTCAGTCCCAAGCCTAAGACACTAATAATCTGACTGCAGCAGTGGATGAAGAATACTTAGATTTGCCAAATCCCAGGCAGGATAAGAGTAAATTTGTTAGTAGTTCAGTTATAGCTGAACTGAAGTCCTGCACAGAGCTGTACCATTCTGCCCCAGCTTCCTACGTGCCTCTTCTCCCCGTCAGTCAGACCTCTGGGTGAACAGTGGCTTTCCAACAAGGATAAAATCCTTGGTAGGGACTAGATCTCTGCCTAGTTACTCATTTCAGCTGCCTTCCAAAGCCATCTGAAGCAGGATGCCAACTGAGAAGAGCTATTGCATACGGCCACTTCTGCACTATTGCTATATTGCTGCTATAGTGGCAAGAACTGCTACAGAAAATGCCAGGATTCCCCTGGTGTGTGGATTCCAAAAGACACTTTGTGAGAATGGAAGAACCACGTTGGTCAGACCCTTATTTCTTCCTTGCCCCCATCAAGACAGCAGCAAAACTCCCAATAAATGAACTGCCGAAATGCCAGGTTGCTCAGCCATACAAAAACCAAACGGAGGGTGAAGCACAAGGCAATGGATTCTAGTTGGGAAAGGCAATGACAGATACTACAGATGTAAATCAGCTTCCCTTTCAGCTCTACTCATCAGAACATCCCCCATTTGACAAGCAAGGGTCTCATTTTACAGCACACTGAACTAAAGCTACACATCCTGTTAGCCACACAAGTGGTAATTTAAGATTTGTATTAGATTCCACTTTGTACAGAAGTAGTACCTACTCCTGTCTGCCAGCTGTTCAGTTGGGGTCACCATTAAAGAGATGCCCCCATTAGGCAAAGCACAGCACATCCATTAGACTGGAACATACCACCAAGATAAATCCTACTATTGGGATTTAAAGTTTCCTCTTTGTCATGCACCCAGAACACTTTTGGCGCTTTGTTAAACAAAACACACGCCGGCATTGTAGTACACTACACAGATTTAAAAGCTTTGCAGAAATGACAGAGCATAAAGCTATATTCCATCAAGGGGAAAGGATGTTTGTGCTCTTTAGCAAACAGCTACCAAAAAAATGTGACATTAGGCTTTTGGTAAGCAAGGGTACACCACAGTGGGGCAGAAGTGAAGAACTGACTAAGAAACCTCCCAAGCTGCCTGTTAGCTTGGTTTACAATTGTGTTTTATACACTCCAGGCAAGCCAAGAAGAGGTTGTCCTCTCACCTGCGAAACAACCACCCATCACCTCTGACAGCATCTTAACCAGCTTGAAAGTGAGGGTGCAGGAGTGGGAGGGGGTAGAGATTATGCTATGCACAACAATCCTCCATATCCAAGTACTGTGAGGTTGTATGCATCCACCCCACCCTACTGCACAGGCTTCACAATCACTCCCCTCTGTTCTCTAGTCTATGCCCGATGGCTCAGAATGTGGAGAAACAGGGTAGTAATGACTTGCGCTACCGTATCTGTATGATCACTCCCTCCCACTTCCTCTTTGAATCTTCAGAAAGCCCTCTGCTCCTTTCTTCATTATTTTCACTGGGTGCAGCTTGGCACAGCCCAGCAGGGCTCCCACCAGCAATATGGTATTAGCTGCGCTGTCTGAGGCTCATGAGCTGCAACAGGAATGCTAGATCACAGAGCAATGTTTAGCCTCTTACCCCACACCACTAGGCCTCCTGTCCCTCTCCCCCAAGACACTTACAGGCTCACAGGGAAGTGAAGAGGGGGCTCATGGAGCACAAATACTGGGCTAGGTCTTGCAGACTTCCCTTATGCATGTAGTCCCATTGAACAGGGAACTTTGCCAAGTAGTCCTTTAAACACTGGGCCAGATCTTCTAGTCTAATGAAAGATATCACATTTACCCAAATAACTTTGTCTGCCATTTCTTTAGAATAGCCTTCAAGAAAAAAAAAAAAAAGGCAGGTCATACACACATGCACACAAACAAATAAAAGACTTAAAAAAAATCACCCAGTGGAACATGTTCTCTTACAGGGCCTCAACGCCTGCAGACAGCCATGCAGTCAGTGTTGGGGGAAGGGAAGGGAAGGGAAGGGAAGGGAAGAGTCTTAAGCTAGAATGAGAGCTCTGTTTTCAGGCAATATTAGCATTTGAATGGGATGGTGGCTCACCCCCACAGCTGCATGCGTCTGCTTGCCTGAGTTTCATTTGCCGGCAGCTTAAACCTGGGAGTTCAGCAGGCTGAACTGCCAAAAAGGAGCAGAATGGCATCACACTGAGGC